TGCCGACACCATGAAGTTTCACCAGCTGGGCACAGACTGTGGTCCGAGCATTCATCAGTGGAGGTGACGTGGCGGTGTGTGGCCATCACAGCCTTTTGCATCTCGCCCACGTCACCTTCATGCGATTTCAGAGCCCGGCCATAATATGTGCTCAGCCTGGTGATCAGCTCACCTGTGAGCCTGCCTTTCCCACCAAGGCCTCTTTTCCCATCGCACTTTTGTTTCTGCACCAGGTTTCTCAATGCGGTGCCCATCCGTTTCTGTACATGATTAATACAGTCTTCCTTCTGCACGTCAATGTAACCATACACCTTGGCGTCTTGTATGGCGCAAAATGTCCTAGAGTCTCCATCAGACAGCATAGTTGTGTAGCGCAGGCCATGGCGTTCAAGCGACCTCTGAAATAGAATTAGAGCCGCCTCCACTTCCATTTGCCCCGCTTTGCTGTTCGTATTTTTTTGGCATTTGTGGTTAGCCTTCCATTCTTGATAGCCCTCACTACTAGGCTTTGGGCCCACCTCGCAGCCTAGGCAAAAGTTGGAAAGAACGACGTAGTCCAACACGTAGCCACTAAATAATTCGATAACTGTGCCCACGCCGATGTGGGAAGAATGGCCTCGCGTCTTCCACGTGCCGTCGTAGCTAACCGCAATATTGCCCCGGTGGCCGAAGCACAAGTCATCATAAATTGTTCTAACCTTTTCCGCACATTCGCTCATAGCGGACTCAGCCGCTCGCGTTGCAGCGGGTGCCAGCGTGTTCTTCAAATGCCGCTGAAACGTCTTGTGGTGCATACCGCGGTGTGAGATGCCCATTGTTGCGAAAATATCGTTCATTTTCGTTTGGCCGTTGCCGGTAGCCACCATCGCCCTCGAAGCAAGAAGATTTACTTCAAACGGATTGCACGTTTTCGTGCCGTTCGCGCGGGGCGAAGTCCATTCATTCGCGATCTCGCCGCACCTTTCACACTGCACTAGCACTTTCACGGCAAGTCCGTAGTCCCGATCCCCTCTGACGATCGTAGCCGGTCCGTGGCAGGCTTTGCAACACAAGGCACCCATTATCGCGTTTAGGATATCTAGATGCATAAGCAGATAAGGAGCAGCGTGGTCCGAGTCCTGTGCGGTTGCCTCGCTACAACTCGCGGTGAAAAAGTCAATTTTCCGTGCAGTTGCTGGCGCCGATGAAACCTGGTCGAGCGTCGCTTTCTCCCGGGCATGATTTTCTTCGACTTCGGCGTTTGTCACCACCTTGGCGTCGATTCGTAGTCGTCCGGAGTTCGCTTCACCGTCATCGTCGTCGGAGGCAACGCGCTCGGTCGCACCATCGCTGAACGGCCGCGGAGCGTCGACACATCGTTCGTCGGAGTCAACCAAGGGCTCTGATGACTTCGTAGACTTTCTCCCACGACCTATGCGTTTCCTGCGACCAAATGCGTGCACGGTCCGATACTTTTTTGCGTTTCCAGGCATGGCGATACGATCAGAAGCTTCAGAGTGCTCTGCCGATTTCGAGGCGTCACAGCGGTAACCCTTTCAAAATGGCGTCGGGTCGCGTATGCAGGCGCAAGCCGCGAGCTTCCAGCCAACCGGAAAGCGCCATTTCAGTCACGTGCGCCGTTTAGCCAATGGCAGTGAGCGCGGCTCTTCGTCTTTGAGGCCCCGTTTTTCGAACCGGGGAAACGCTCAATGTTGCTTACTGAATAAAAAAAAACAGCTGAAAACGTGTTCTTTCAAACAAGACCAAAATGGCGCCGATCGAGCGCGTAGTTCCCGCGTATCGTAGAGCCGAAACCTGCGCTATTCGCCCTCAATTTAAAGGGCAGGACGCCCGTTTTCGGTTTTTTAAAGTTGAATAAAGATAAAAGTTGATGGTATTCGGCTATGAAATTTTGTAAATAGGTGCGCAATGATGTCGGGAACGCGAAAAGAAGGTCCGCGAAAACTCGATTTGTTGGCCGATTTTCGGTCCCGAAGTGCCGCGTCCCCCCTTAAGGGGGGACACGTGTCTTAGGACGGTCGAAAAATCTATTTTTTTTGCAAAGCTTATTTTCGGGGCGTTTGTACTTCCGAGCACCTACCCTCAAATTGCTAATGCTGCATTCCGTTGGGAAACTCAACAAAATCGGCCTTCAATGCAACCCGGTCGTACTAAAATGCCCCCAAAAGGACAAAATTCGTTCGAACTTCCTGCACCCGCTATGTGCGTTGCAGCGGACCGAGCGCCGCCGTCTTGGGCTTGATTAGAAACTGTTTTCTTTGTGCATATTTTGCGCCATCTCAAAATGGCGTCGCTCAAACGGAAAGACTGCTGTCGCGGGTTTTCTGAAGGTTGTTTCCAGATCGCCAATTGCCCCTCACGCGGCGCGCTTTTCAAGCACGCCTTTTCGAGTCTCCAATTGGCAGGGGTGATCAATGCGTTATCTTTTTTCCTTTGTGCTGCTCTCACCGCCATGGCTGTCCGTTTGTGGCGTCTGCTCTTACAATCGTGCGTATTTCTCGACGCACCCTGTTTCCACTTTGCACCAGTACTTCTTCACCACGATCGAGATGCCTGGAGACTCTCAACTGAAACCATCGACGCAACGAGCTTTCGGAAGCCGTAAAAAACGGCCTCGGAACAAGAAGGCACCGGCCACAAGTGACCTTTGGCAGCTAGTTACAGTCGAGGCCGGACCCGTTGGATCCGCTGGAAACTTTAACGACGCTGTCTACTGACAACGCCGTGGAACCAAGTTCGACGAGCGATACACTTCGGATTGATGCTGTGTACTACTCAATGCCAAAGCAAGCGTAGCGAGTTGAGAAATCGTCGCAAACGAAGACCGTTTTGTCAGGAAATTCGGCTACCCGAAAGTTCGACCTCCTTGGAGTAGCGCTTATAGCCTTCGCCCTCCGATTTTCGGCAGCGCCTACACAGCCAACGAGCTAGGAGTTGACGCGAGCACTGATAACACTGTCATAGATGAACAGCGAAAGCATGACGTGTAGCTGAAATTGAGGCAGACATCGCGGGCAAACGGATTGCCATGCAACATTAAAATAGATTTTATGGGGGCCAACGTGTTGACCACAGAGGTAGTACCAGCCACATCTTTTATATATATATATATATATATATATATATAAGCAGCTCTTTTCAGAGCCACCTAAACGATGCATTTACAAAATTGCAACAAGAACTTTGTACCACAGCCGTGACCCTCTTTGTCAGCAAAAAATACCTATAACAAAAGGCATTTTGCAGCGGGCATTCGTTTTTACGGACAAATGCCTGATTTTCCGGACATTTTCATGGTCCCTTGAGGGTTCGGAATGCAGCAACTTATTACCCAGGGCAGCATACTGCCTAACAGCTATTTGAACCTCATAGCTATTTGAACAGCATATTGCCTAACAGCTATTTGAACCTCATATCCCACAGCTTTTCTAGAACCCCTTAAGAGCTTGTCAAGATGGAATTCTGATAATGCTTCCCACATTGGAAAAAGTTTATAGAAATGATTCCAAGGGTGGAATAAGGCACTTTTTGTTTTGCGGGGGAATAGATGGGGGAACATGTGTATAAAATTTGTGGTAAAAGTTCCTTCTGGAAAATTTTGCGGTGCATGTCAAACTTCAAATGCGATTTTCTCAGCTTCACATTTTTTGCCAACATGACCAGCCTTGCGGAACTTTTCATCATGATTTTGTGAAGCAATTTTTTTTAATTTTATACCGTAGAACTCGCAGGAAACTGTACTAAGGAGCTATGCTATTTTTTGTGGCTAAAAGAGACATATGAAATGTTATGAGCAATAATCTGACCTAATTCAATTTCAAAATTGTGGAGCATCAATGCAAATGAGAATTTTTATATGATGCTGTATCTCAGTGACAATATAAATAGCATAGCTCCACATGGAAGGTCTTTGGCTACAGCTGCATCCTAAACAGAACATAAAAATATTGAGGGAAGGTACCTTAAGGACCTGTAAGATATTACACAATTAGGCTTAACTTATGCTCTCACAATTTGATAACTAGTTGGTGTAATTAAAACTAATTATATTTTTGAAAAGAGGAGGAAAAAATATATATACACACCTAATTTCATTATGATACCTCTAATAATAAAAGTTTCCATTTTAAGACCAGCACCTAACCTTAATTGCTGTCACCGTCATCACCTTCGTTACTCTAGCCCTGTGCTGTGGGATGACCCGATTTTAAATTTTCATTGTTCTTTTGTGAATCTATTTGGACTCCGTGCTCGTCTGTTTCGTACTTTTCTGTGAAAGTGGGCAGAAGCCGATTATAGTTCACCAGTGTTCAAAATAGATGCGAGAGTTCATAGAGACATGGAAACCTGGCAGCACAGTAAGAGCTCAAAGTGCCCAAGGGATGTATCTACTAAAGGCCGGCCCGTAAGAACATCATGATATACAGCAGTAAAAACTCAATTTAGGAGCTTGACAGCAGCATATCCAGAGCAGCTAGATATGATGGTTGCAGAACCTGCATCCACAATCGCTACCAGTAGTCTCGGAGTGCATGCATCTGAATGAAAACAGTGAATGAAAGTAATTTGCAACGATGGGCTCCATACCAAGGCCCTCCTCTATAGTAGCAATACTTCATGAAGGTAGCGAGTTTGTTGCCCTCCTGGCAAGTGGAGCCAGCATGTAAATGCACACTGTCACCGTGCAGCATTTCAAATCGCACTAGTTTCAAGCAACTTTTTGATATTTCAGCCACTCTATGCATCTATCTTTTAAGATCTTTAGTAAATTTAGATTGGGAAGGGAGGGGGGGGGGGGGGTCAAAAGTGTTTTTTTTTTTTTTTTGCAAATATGAAACTAAATGTGTGACACACAAAAGGTGGGCAAATGCTCATTATTAAAATAAATGCTGAAGGTAGACTAGCCCACAACAATTGAAAGATTCAGCTCTGCAGCTTAGCAAGTTCGCTACCCTGTAATGAAGGTTACTCTAGTCGTGATTCAGTCGACCAATACTTACTCCGCTTCGGAACGAGTGCAACGGCGAACTCCAGATTTTGGTTATCAATCGTCCGGCACTTAGGATTCTTAAGTGCTTTGATCAGTGCTTCACTGGATGGGAACTTCACCTGGGCATACCTAAGACACAAGAAGAGTAAGCGTATGAACAACACGCAAATGTTCTTTGAGCCAGAATGAAAAAAGTCACTTTAAAGCAAGCGGCTGGTGCAAGCCTCTGATCACCGCCAAGTAAGCAATAGTGATGGTGTTTGCCTCACCCATGCCTACAGCCAAAAACAACAGCAGTCTGTCAAGCTCCAATGATGATGTGCTTTCTTGAGGAAAGTGTGCATTTGCGGGCAGCAGGTGCCAAAACACAGTAATGCATGGTGATGTTAGTATTCATACCCGATGGCAGGAAGCTGCCACCATTTGTCACAAGAGGAAGACTCCTCCCAAAAACTCTCCTAGCTGACCTATGTGCAATCTCAGAAGAGAACTCAATTAACACAATGGAGCACTTTGAATCGGGCAGGTAAAATACATTTAGGCAATGTGAGCAAACAAAAAAATTGAAATTTGTTTGAACTAACCTATCAAATGTCTACTGCATGTTCAAAAAAAGTTTAGGTCCCTTTAAAGCAGAACACTAGCCTGTATCTGGTAAACAGACATCAAGTGTAACACACAAAGAAATGTGCTGTGAACAAGCTAATCAATGACTCACAGGAATAACAGCACATGTGGCAGGGTGGTTCCTCCCTTGCAGATAGACCACAAGCGAAGATAGCCTTGCCTTTTTTTTTCTTTTGCACATAAAGGCACAAGTCCCAAGGTGATGGGGTACCTTGGAAGCAATTTTTCTGAGCCTCAGTGCTTATTCTGCACACTTAACGCAAAATGAATTGGTAGTGGCATACAAAGGAGTAAACATGGGATTTAAACAACCTTACCTGACGGTTTGTGCTAGATGAGATCTAATTTAAAAAATGAGTAGGTCATGTACTGTTCACTCATGCATTTATAGCTGGTTCTTGTCTCTGCAAGCACTGCACGAACTGAAATATGAATTCATACAAAGTTCCTAAATCTACCACTACCACTCATATTTGGACCACACACCTCAGTTAAATCAAAATGCTTGCTATTACATTGGAAATTGTGCATTGACAGTGCTTATGTATAAAATTTATTTTAATAGCAATAATTTGTGAGTGATGCAGTGCAGTTTAGACGGCCCTCTGATCATGGCAGGTTATCATGGTTCCACGAAATGCAAAAGTGCACAGTCTACAACAAAATGATACAGACCATGTGAGTGCTTCCAAAATTGCTGTCTGCACAGTTTTGTGATGCGAGATTTGTAGCCAAGAGCATTCATCTGGCGAAAAAATTGCCACAGCAATGCTCTTGGCAGAAGACGGGAGCGATGACAATTATGGCACCAGCTCAAGTGGTTCGTATTATAGAACCCCCAACTGTACATCGTGTGAGCAATACCTCCATGAAGTAAAAGGTATGCAGGTACATACATTTGCATTTTTCTTTAATTTTTATTTTCACATGAGACAAGAGTGATTATTAGCAACTATGCAGGCTTACATATGTCCACATTATTCGTCATTTCTGTTATCGTTTTCTATTCGTAAACAATGTGCAGAGTGACAGTTTTCAGAATGTAACTGAGTGTATGGTGGTGTATTTAAGGGGGGAAGCTGCACTTGAAAAGTGACTTTTTTTATTTATGGATAGATCTGAACCAAATTTTCACAGTTTGTGTGTTTTGATGTGCAGATTCCAAAAATGTAATTACTTTTGTGATAGGGCTAGTAGTTCCCAATATACTGTGCTATCATTGCATAAGCTTGGTCCTTTATTTGGAGCAAAATTAGCGTCTAATCAGAAAACCTAAAAATGGTGGTTACAAATAAGCTTGGTCCTTTATTTGGAGCAAAATTAGCGTCTAATCAGAAAACCTAAAAATGGTGGTTACAGTATTGAAACAATGTAATATGTTCAAGGATAGGAAGATGCTATAAATCAATTTACTAGGCAAATTTTAACAAGAGTTAGAGGTCATCAATGTTTACAGAAAAATAAAGCCATTGTAACATACCATACTTGTGACCCATTTAAAAAATTTTGTGAAATGTATATTGCCCTGAAGATAGGCATATTGCTTACTGCATGAATTTATCTTTCTGGCAAAATAAAAATTATGCTGATAGCTCAAATAGAACAGAAGCTATTTATCTTATCCTCCATTGTGACAAACGCGTGAAAATTGCTGTTTTGAGAAAACAAGGAAAAACATTGCAAAACATTTTTATTAGAAAAATACCTATAAAAGCTTTAAAAAATGCACCAGGGGCATAATCTGGATGCATCCCATCCTTGTTCCTCCTCCTTATTTCGCCTCGCGCACTTCACTGGCACCGATCACATCAGCGTCTACCCTCACACGGCCGGAGTCGACATCGCGCACGCTGTCAGGGAGCGCGTGGCTACGCGCTCTTCTCCGTTCCCGATAGCATCGGCGCGGTCATGGATAGCGATGGGTTCCCCGGATAGCATCGGCGTGGTCATGGATAGAGACGAGTTCCCCGGATAGCGTACGCTCACAGAGCGTACGCTATCCGGGGAACCCATCTCGCGCACTCCTCTGTTGACGATAACATCAGTACTCGTGCGGCCAGCGTCCACGCCGCGCACGCACGAGGAATCCTCTAAGGCCACGTCGACGTTATCAGACGATGTCGGAGCTTGCTCCCGCGATGCAGTAGCAGCACCATTGGGCTTTCTACCCCTGCCTTTCTTCTGTGAACGGCCAAAATGATGCTTCGACAGGAAATTTTTCGCACCGCCGTGCATAGTGAACCGCACCAAAATATTCTAGCACACTGACCGCACGAACACGTTAACAATAAGACACCATCACAAGAGCGATACCTTTTCAAAATAGCGGCTGACACTGCCATCAAGTTTTCCTGGCCAATCGAGAAACGCCATTTTGGTCACGTGCATCAGGCAAACAATGGAGTCGCGCGCAGCGCATGGTTTTGCTTTGCTTTTTTTTTTTGCTTCCGCGTGGGGCACATGGTTGCTTACCGAAAACAAGAGAAAAGCTGGAAACGCGACCTCTCAAACAAGACCAAAATGGCGCTAGTGGAGCGCGTAGTTCGCGTGCTGTCGGCGGTTGAAGTAAGGCTAGTTTAGACTTGAATTTAAAGGTACGCTTGCGCGTAGTTGCTCTTTTTATCTCTTATAACTCTGGAAATAAATAGAATTTTGAAGCCAAAATTTGCTGATAGATGCAGAAGGGTTCCGGGAACGCGAAAATGATGAGAGAGAAAATGGAATTTTTTGGCCAATTTTCGACATTTAAGTGCCACGTCCCCCCTTAAATGTATCCCATGTAACTGCATCAAAACAAGGATGTAATCTAAAAGCATCAAGCTGGTTCAGTACTGCATTTACTCGCATAATTTGAGCACTTTTTTTTTTGCGATTTCCAACCTCGGAAAAGGGGGTGTGCAAATCGCACGGAGATTTTGCAAATGCATCCAGATATAGTCTTAACATGCGCGGCATATACATTTAAAGAAAAAAAAAGAAAACAATTTGGGCACAAATGAAGTGCACTTGTGTATTTAACAAAACGAGCATGTACTTTAACCAGCCAAATCTAGTCACGCGCAGTCTAGCCGGAATCGCTGGCCTAGAGGTCTGATAGGGAATGATCGTCGCGGCCATTGCCCCCGCCCTCAGTTTTATTGAGCGCATTCAAATGCCCCATTTTCTTGAAGCTCCTAAAAACACCCTCCCACAACATGGCGATACCGGAGGACTTAAGCTTTCACACATACCGTAAGAGCCCGCATATAGCTAGGACCCGCATATAGTCCGGGTTGTAATTTGGGGATAGCAAGCACGAGAAAAAAAGTTTTCACCCAAACATAGCCCGAGTAAAACGGAAAAATGCATTTACTGATACACTTCATTCACCTTCGTAATCGGACGCACTCTCTTCCGAAGCTCCCTAGTCGGAAATGTTCTCCCACAACACATCATTCTCAGTGCAATTACGTGCGTTCGAGATGGAGCACTTTTAAAACGTGCGGCAAACGAGCACAGATTAACTGGCGAGGCCCGTTACAGCAGTCTGGCAGGGGTCACCTCCGATTCTCCGGACCTCATCCACTTTGCGAACAGGCTCTTGACATGGTCCTTAAATGGCTTATTAAGGCACACATCAAGCGGCTGCAGCTGTGATGTCCTCCCAAGAGGGATGACGACGAGCTTGGTGCGGGAGTCCCGCAGCAGTCGCTTTTCAGTCTGTCAAGTGACACCGAAACCCATTGAGCACAAGCATCGAAGGGAGCCCCAGCAGTGTTCCGGGCTGTCAACACCACAGGGACTTTATCCAATCAAGTACTAGCGATTCGACCATCCACCCCTTGTTCTGGCAGCGAAAAATGGCATTTTTCGCAAACTTCTCCCCCATCAGCAGCGTCTTTCATTTGACCACTATGTAGAATGGTAGCTTGCGACTGTCTGCAGTGCAGGACATCGTTCCAGTCACCCACGTTTTTTTGTTCCCAATCGATCACATGATAACTTGTCTGGAGCCTTTCTGATGCATTGTTAGCGCTGAGGGCATATCCAAATAGACTGGCGATTGATCCCCGTTGCCGATCTGGCCCAGCTGAAAGGGGACAGCCTTTCGCAACGCAATCACATACTTTTGAAACTTCATAAGGTCCTCTTCATAGCTCTTTGATTTATTTATTGATTGATATGTGGGGTTTAACGTCCCAAAACCACCATTTGATTATGAGAGACGCCGTAGTAGAGGGCTCCGGGAATTTCATCCACCTGGGGTGCACCCGAATCTGAGCACATGGGTGCCTACAACATTTCCGCCTCCATCAGAAATGCAGCCGCCACAGTCGAGATTCGATCCCGTGACCTACAGGTCAGCAGCCGAGTACCTTAGCCACTAGACCACCACCGCGGGGCTCTTCATAGCTCTTTGGTAGCTTCTGCGGGATCGACGTACGCCGATGTAGAGAACCAAGCGCGGCACATGAAGAGAGACACCCAATGCTTGCTCGCTTTGAAATACTTCCGCTGATTGCCTTTGTCTCGAGTGATCTCCCTTGCCTTTGCTTGTAGCAGCTCGATGTTAACCGCAAGATGTGCAGCTTGCTGCTTCCGCACAAAGTCTGCAAGTTCTCGTTCCACATCAAGAAATTCTCTATTTTTTTTGGTCCATGGAAACTTTCTCACTGGCCGCTGCAGGCAAAAAGGGTGTCCTTCTGCTTACGCCAACCACGAATACTATGCTCATTGACTGTTGCACGTGTGGGTCTGTAAGACTAACGCCTGCTACCACCGCTAACACCGCTAACACTACCTAGCACTTGATGATGATGATGATGATAGCACCACGCGTATGCCGAAACCAAAACTGAATTTTGGCCTAAAATTCTTGGGACCCACAGGGCCAAAATTTCATACCATAAAATCTCGAGAGAAAAAAAACCCGAGCTATACGTGGGCTTTTACGGTAACTGAAAAAGACTTCTTTAACAGCAGGAAGCTTGTACTATTTGCACGTGTGCACTTTTCCGCTTTCTCCCGCACCGAACTTTACACATTGATGAACTTCTCGGCCACAGCACGGTTCCCATTTTCTTTGGCCAACTTCATAACAGCGAGTTTGAAGTTCACTGTAAACATACCTATTGTAGACCATTGCAAGAGAACAGTAAAAACGCGGCAGACGAATCGTGATACCTAACCTTCTGAAATCAAATAAGTACCGTATTTACTCGCATAATAGGCGCACTTTTTTTTCAGAAAATCCGGCTTGAAGTCAGGGGTGCGCCAAATACGCGGGGTAAAATTTTCAAAAATTTTTTCAACTCGGTTCTCGCGCTTTAAATCTGCACACTTGTCAAGTAAAAGGCGACATTATCGTTTACCAATTAATTTAGCATAAAACAAACATACCTACGTACCTTTTAATGAACAAACGAAAGCCGTCAACTGCACACACGCACGTAAAATTTATTTACACAAAAGTCGTAGCTGTTCCTCCTTTTCCCTATTCAAAGTCCGAGTCGGAGATCACACATTCATCCTCGCCGAGTGGGGATTCGTTTTCGGTGTCCGAATCATCCGCACCCCACAACATGTCATCCTCACTCGCATCCAGCGCATTCGAGATACCAGTCTTCTTGAAGCTTTTCCTGGCGACTTCGTCGGAGATCGCCTGCCACGCTTCCGCGATCTAAGCGCACAGCATTTCCACAGGCGGCCTCTTAATCTTACCACCTGGAGCCAACTGATGTTGTCCTCCAGCCATCCAGGTGGTGTACAGCCTTCGAACATGCCCCAAGCCCACATAGCTCTTCAGAGGCCTACCAGCACACTGCTGCTTCCATCAGAATGAAAACTGAGCCCCATTTCATATTTAAAAATATGAAGCTGCACTAAGCATGGACTTACCCATCCGGCTGCACTTTGAGCACTTCGCCTGTGGGAAATATGGCAGCCAGCTTCTCCTTCTTTAAGTACTCTTTAGGCACTCTCCGTATATCCAATGTGTCAGGCTGGAACTGAGGGCGCGATGCTGGATTGCTCCATCGTTCACCACAATACGATGCCTTGATGGATGCTCCCTTTAGGTTAGCCCCTTGCAGTGAGCGCACAGCTGCCATAGCTTTTTCCTTGTTGGCATATCGCACAAAAGCACATCTGCATACACAAAAATAGCAAAACAGGAGCTTGAATCAAGCTAACTTTAGGTCAATAGAACTAATCAAGCCACTCACTGCAGACCGTGAATTTTCTGCAACTAGCCAACTGAGCATAGCAAACGAAACCCCACATAGAAACGAAATTTGTCAGCACTGACAAATACACTCATACTTCAATATAATAATGCTGAGGATAAAAATCAGTCAAAAGTGATTCATTATATCCATTAATGCCCTTTACAGCAATACATGACTAATCATGAAAAAAAAGCCAATGGCAATGCTATACAGGCATACGAGATGAAACGTTATTAAAGTAGTAAAAAAAAATGATGTCAGCCACACTCAACTTGGTACAACAGTTTTTATGATAGCTGCCATCCATTTAAATGGCAGATTTAGCTTTCATTGAGGGCATGGCTCGTCCCCATTGCCGCACAACCAGCAGAATAGCAACCCGATTGAACAAAGACCAGCATGCCAATTTTGCCAATGATTGAGCTCGCTCCTGCCCCGCCGCGGTGGTCTAGTGGCTAAGGTACTCGGCTGCTGACCCGCAGGGCGCGGGTTCGAATCCCGGCTGCGGCGGCTGCATTTCCGATGGAGGCGGAAATGTTGTAGGCCCGTGTACTCAGATTTGGGTGTACGTTAAAGAACTCCAGGGGGCCGAAATTTCCGGAGCCCTCCACTACGGCGTCTCTCATAATCATATAGTGGTTTTGGGACGTTAAACCCCACAAATCAATCAAATCAATCAATCAATCATTGAGCTCGCTCCACTGTGTGAATGACTCAGGTGAGCTATAGACAAATTAAGCTCACCGAGTCAGATTGGCATATCCGGCATGCAGCTTTTTTTACTTCATTAAAGTTGAGTTTCAAATATATATTGCTTTTTGGAGATTTCAAGAGGAATTTTCTTTGATCAGTTTCTCTCTTTCTCTTAAAATACATAAAAGCCCCTATTGATTTGCCTTGGCTGCATACTTGTAACAACAGCTGAATGGTTCAATAAACAACTTATGACAGCTTGATTTAATTTGCATATGATGCACAAGCAATGTGTGTTTACATTGTATTTCTCCTTAGATGCAAAGATAACTTCAAAATGTTCAGTCTCTGACCAAAGACAGCAATTAATATCCTTCATTCATTGAAATGAAATATAGCACAGACCTCTTATAACGTAAGTAGCGGGGGTCTCGCATATCCACACTATAAGCTGTATCGCATTATAACGAAAACAACTTTTTTCAAAGGCCACAGTTATGCAAAACGTGTTGGCATGCAGCCTCGTGTGTCAGAGAATCGACGCATACGATTCGCAGTGCCTGCAATCATTTAAATTTCTGAATGTTAAAAATGTTACTGCCTTGCCGCAAAGCAATGAACGCGATAGCAACAAATTTGAAGGTCACGCGAAGAATGGCAAGCAGATCGAAATGTGCCCCGTGTATCTCACGCACAAATGGTGCACAAAACGTCACTTGTTACTTCGTGTCTCACAAGCGCACCCTTTCCCAAACGTAGACTGTGCAACGAGTGTAGTGATCTTTGTGCGCCCGACAACTACAACAAAATCGTTCCCGTGAAAGCCCAAGGCATATGATTCTCCTCACCACACAATAAGCACACACACAGCACGCCCCCACCCCCCCCCCACTCCCTCACCGCAAGGCAAAGTACATGTGAGAGATGAGAGTGCGCGCCCCCGCGTCGTGACGGCTTGGCGACACGCTTTCATTGCACTTTATTGCTGTTAATGCTGAAAACACGATAGTTCCCCTGAGTTGCGCATCGCCAGCGATAAGTGGTAGGTATAAATAGCTTGCCGTTTTAACATTGGAAGAGGTGCTCCTTCGTGGCTCAGCTAAAAACTCTCACTCACAAGCAAGAGGTCGGACGTTCAATTTCGCGTGCTGGAGTCTTTTTCTGGCTTATTTTTTTGCATTTACGTATAAATAGATATGCATACATACGCAGTGAATGGCGCCGACACAGGCGGCAAAATCCAGCCAAGAGTGTCGAAATAATTGCTATCGCAAAAAAAAAAAATCAAACAGCTAGAGAACCGCATTGCCAACGAAACAAATGCAAAAGGAGGAGACTAACAAAAAAAGCACCATTGTGGAAAATCACTACCTACCTTTCAGACCGTCTCTATAACGCACGTGACACAAAAATTATATCAAATCACGACTGAAATCTTGAGCGCTGAACGGGCGCACACCCGATTTCAAGACATTGTTTTCGAATCACGAATTACCATTAGAATGCTAAACGTGCCACAGGTGGCCTCACTCATTAAATTACGCATCCCTTCCGTTCGCTTCAAGTGTTGCCATCGCAACTTTGATCGACCGCAACCACTACCGAAAAGCAACCAGGACAGATTAGGCCTAGCCTGCCATTTGGCATGTTGTCGTGAGAAGTTTGTCTAATACAACTTGAAGATTGGAAACCAAGAGCAGCGTGTATGATACGAAGTTTGCATTCACGGCTGGGAGATCAATGACAGCAAAAGCTCATCAAGCTTATGCAAGTCTGCACACTGGCAGCAAAGGCGAAAGCATGCGTCACAAAGCCATAAAGCTTTTAAATTTAAAGACAAAGCAGCAGATACGATCTCGGTAACGCGCTACCACGGTCTTTTTTTTCCCTCCCTCTGCCCATCATTCGTTTACTTCAGGTCCCCTCCTCCTCCGTAACGAGCTCGCTCCCGAGCTGCGCAGCTTTTTTGAATTAGCCCTTGCTACCGGTTTTGACATTAAGATTGTCTGGCAACTGCATTATGAACGGTCTTTCCTCTTTGGGACCTGTACGATAAGTGGTATGCTCATACATGGGGTTTCATGGAAGGGTAAGTGGAAGTCGGAAAAGACCGCATCGTAGATACTGCACTTTAACGGTTCCATTATCAGCAGTCTGCACTATACAGTGTAGACCACTTATAACGTAACCGCTTATAGAGCAGAACCGGTTACAATGTGGTCTTTTTCGACTCCTGTGTACCCTCCCATAGAACCTTTCCGATGGAGGCGGAAACGTTGTAGGCCCGTGTGCTCAGATTTGGGTGCACGTTAAAGAACCCCAGGTGGTCAAAATTTCCGGAGCCCTCCACTACGACGTCTCTCATAATCATATGGTGATTTTGGAACGTTAAACCCCACGAATCAAATCAAATCCCATAGAACCTCATGTATATGCATACCACTTATTGTTGCAGTCCCCCAAAGATGAAAGACCGGTTTTAATGCGGTTGCCGGAAAATCTTTTTGTAACAAACGCAGTGACTGCATCTGAAAGGACACGCGCTGGGTGCGCCGCTGTAACAACCACGCAACGAGGTTGTTACAGAGGAGAAGGGGATGCGGAGTGAACTCAAGGGTGGAGGGAAGAAAAAAAAGAAAAAAGACCCCGGCACACTGCGCGGGCTCTCCCGTTAAAAGATGTGGGCCTTGGCGACAATAAGCCTTTGCACCAGCATCGACACTGCTCCATTGTACGCGTCGCCAGCGTGGCTCTCGACACGCACGGCTAAACAGGGCATGTGTGATCCCATTATCGACTGCGCTCAACAGTTTCCCGTCGGGAAAAGCGTCGTCGTTATCGAGCTTGCTGCAGATACAGTGTTTGCTACCTCGTCCGTTAATTTAAAACTTTTAAAGGCTTTGTAACCAAAGCTTTCGCCTTTACAGCCAGTGCGCTGTCTTACGTAAACATGGTGGGTTTTTGTCGGCCTTGATCTCGACCACTAACGCAAACTTCGTATCCCACACGCTGTTCTTGGTTCAATGCTTGAGTGTCATCTTTTCGAAGCCGGATCTTTGTGTCTTGGACAAACTTCCCGCGACAACATATCGAACAGTAGGCTAGGCCTTATCGGTGTTGGTCGCGTTTCGGTCGTGGTCAAATGGTATTTACAAGTTGCGGTTTGGTACGTAATCAACGAAACATTTGGCGTGGCTGCGTTTGAAGAAATGGGATACACATCGCTTATAAAAACGAAGGTGGCATGTGGAGCACTTGAGTAGTGCTTCACGATTACTCGAAATCGGGTGCGCACCCATCAAACAATCAGTGCCTTTCAGCACGCGAAATTTCGGACTTGATGCAACATAGTTTATGTGTAATGCGCATAATCGAGGCAGTCTAAAAAGTAGTCTGCAAATTTCCACCATGATGTTTTCTTTTGTTATGGCATCTTCAGCTGAGGTGTCCTGGCAGCGTGACTGTGGAAGGAAAGTTACGTCTAGCACTGCCCGAGTGTTACGCCTCGCTACGAGCCAGACAAACGTGTGAACCACAAAACTCGAATCCGCTATAGCAGCACTGTATGCGAGAGATGCCATTTAGCAGACATCAATTTCCAGCATCCTCTTTGTACTCGTAATAAGAAAACAAACAACAGAAAATCAAACAATGAGACACTTGCGAGACGCTACGCATTTGTTCTCCAGACGGTTGTGCTGCATCGATTTTGTACCAATTTGACAAGCGTTAATTTGCACATTGCCTTCGGTGTACAGTGGAATCCTGGCAGCAAAGTAGCCTTGTGCAAGTGCGGTCAGACGATGTAAGCTCACGCACATTTCCCGTCCCGTCCAGCCATGTTCTGTGGCAGTGCCAGCTGTAAATTACGCCTGCAATGACGGAACGTCACTGTGTCGTCTGCCAGCACCGTGTCGTCTGCCAGCGCAAGGACTCTCTGCCCTGGCAAACGACACGGTTGAACTCTGGAGTGCCGCAATGGGGTGCACTCATGCAGTGGCCAACCCAGCCGAACATGTGGCACTGCACACGTGGTGCCCAGACGAACGTTTGAAACGGCACACATATCTGTGCCAAGTTCGAGCATTCTGAATCCGGGAGATTTCTGCAAGGAGGGGGGGGGGGTGCACTGAATTATTTTCGCAGTTTTTTTTTCGGCACCAAAAAAAAAAACTCAAGGACAAACGAGCGAAAAACAAGAGGGGATGGCAGGGGGGGGTCTCTCTTTCAATCGGAATTGCCAACATCAGCGTTGTGGGCTTATGTTGAATTCCAATGCCAGATCGCGAGCGCTAAAGGGGGGGGGGGGTGAGAATGGAGTGCGCAGATCCGAGCGGGATTGCTCTCGCCAAATCTCCAATTGGAAAATTGGAACACGCGCGTCTCGACAGGAGCTGTTGGTGAGTGGAAATCTAGCGAGGGAGCACGAGAAGGTGCGAGGGAGTGCAAAGCGTTTTCCGGACATCCATCGGTGATTGAATGAAAGAAAGGCGCACAGAATACGTCACTTGCTCTGCCGAAATTGACCGGAAGTTCAAGAATGCTTGCTCCACGGAGCAATCCGTGATCTGCAGTTGCTCTCAATCTTCCATTGGAACACACTATTCATGCCCCCAATCTGCCAATGGAATGTGATTACTCCGCTCAGAGCAGAAAAACTTGATCTAGGTCTGCCATTGGAATTCAACATTATAGTGGCTTGGAGCGGCCGAACACAAGAAAGTAGGGTTTCCCACTAATGTGAGAGTCTTGTATTTTTTCCTGGAACACACGTGAATGGACGTGACGGCACAACTGGCTGCAGCAAAAGCGCAGGTCAAAGCTTTGCTCTCTACTAGAGTCTTTTTTATAGGAACGGCAAAACACGTCTGGCTTTTTTTTTTCTTTATATATTTACTTTCTTTAATTATTCGTAACTTGAATATCCCTATCGCGCCGCCACGACCGCGATGTTGTGTGCGGCGGTTGAGGCCTTTTTTCAGTCACTATGCGCTTTACTGCGCACACCGTCTTCAAAACTAAGTCATTTATGCCATCTATGACCGCATCTGCCACGGTTTTGTCCGCAGGGTTTGCGGAAAGCAGCGTTGGTTTGACTAGTTGAGCGTTGGGCGCATGCACACTTTTGGGGTTCTGGCAGTTACGCCGTCTCCATACATAATCGTGTCAAAAACGATGGTGGTTTCGTCCACAGCGGTTGTGGCAACGACAATCATACACAATGAAGAAGACAGTGCGTGTGCCAGTTGCACGCGTACTTCCGAAGCTTCGACTATGTTGCTCTCGGCCATCATTCGACGGTTTTCGTACTAAAGTTTGCGTCACCCGCTGCGATGAGAAAATGTGTTCAGAACATTTGAATTTAGGCTTAATGAACATAGTGGAATTTGGCTGGGGAATTTCACGAATTAGTATCTGCCGCGGTATTGCATCACTAAGATTTTACTGTACGTTTAGATGAACGCCATTTATAATAAAATGGGGTAGGTTCGAAATGCCTGAAGCAGATTGAGCTGCTTTTTCGTCAATGCGGCCAGACCTCGCACGAAAATTTCGATTTCCAAGAGATTTTATGACAACCGTGTTAAAGGAAGAAACGGTCGATATCCATGCATCTCCCAGCCAATCCAGGAGACTTGGCAGGCATGCCGCACGAGTGCACAGAAAACACCACCTGTGCCGCCAGCCAAAGATACCTCTAGACCCCCCTCTCCCCGTTTCACTCTTTTCCGCGTTCATTTTGTTACCAATGCGCGTCTTTAGATGTTATTTCTCTTAACATTTTAAAGTTTAAATGGTTGTAAGGACCACACATCAAATACTTCAATTTTTGGACACATGAGGCTACATGCTTAACACGTTCTGCAAAAGTGCGGCCCTCAAAAAAGTTCTTTTGGTTACAGTGCGGATATTTGTGACTACCACGACTTGTGCTATAAGAGGTCTATATCCAAGATCTCGGTCAAGCAAAATTTCGAGCTAAACTGCACTACTTACACAATTTTCTTGTTTTGAACTATTTCTCTCATTACAGAGCCATCCTTGCAGAGCTTCTTGACATCATCACTTGTAACACCATCAGTAAATGAAGACAGCTTGACATCGCACAAGTCTCGGGCCTCTGCAAATCAGATACGAAAAAAAAAAATAGCACAACGTTAAAGCAGCCCAGCACTGACAAACACCACACTAAAGAAAAAACCACATGGCACAGCAACAAAAAAGGAAACATGCATGTAAAACACCAATTGTTGAATAAAGCACCCAAAAAGTAGGAAGCTTTAGAAAAATATTGTAAGTACTATAAAATAAATAATTAAAATTAATTATAGTAATATATCTTTCAAATTTCAAAAACAAGCAAGACGAAGTCTGCTTATAAAGAGTTGAGCAAAAATTTGTTTTTGTAATACATTACGGATTTTACTGAAATATTCTTTATACGACTGCAAGAAGAAACTACCATACGAATGCACCTAAAGGCCACACATTAAAAATTAATTTTAAAAGTTTTATCAAAAGTTTTTATTAAAAAGGAATTTTCATGGATGTGCCTTCCCTTTTTTTTGCACCTCATAACACCATATTATGTCCCACAATAATCGCATTCCTAGATTTTATCAATAGATTTTAATTTTTTTATAGCATCACCTCACCCAAATCTTTCAGGTTTCCATGAGCAAAAAGCAAGGCCTCAGATATCTATATTTGAAATTAGAAGGCAGCCCCTACAACATGTTTTAGAAATTGTTTGCGAAAGTAAGGCCATCAAGATCCATCTCTTGTTTAAAGATGCTGCGCGTAGAGTACGGCCACAGGCTCATCACCGTTAAAGGTGCTTCCACATGTCTTCCCGTTATAAAACACCACCTTTGCATTTCCTGTGCTTGTTGGTCGTCCTGCTAATTTGCTACACATGTTTAGTTCTCGAAGGCCTTCGTCTGTTAGGGCCAACTGAATTGCAAATGATTACGGTCCTGTGGACGGTGCCGTTCTCGCATACACAGTTTTGTGCATCACTGTATGCAGCTGAGAAAGAGGTAGCTAGAGTACAATGATGAGGTGCGGGGGAAGTGGAGCAAAGAAAGCAGTTTAGGACAGTCACTTTTGGAAGTACTTTTGTGCAGCATTTAACTGTCTACGACCCATGGCAGTCTCGCATTATGCCAACCAGCCTAGTTTAGCGGCCTGGGAACGGTGTCATACGCCGCGGCATCCAGGAAAAATCTCGAGAAAATACTGTTTACTCTCAATACAACGAACAGTCATAATCCTGCCAAATAAGTCCAGATTATCTGAAGTCCGTAATATCCAAATTCCACAGGAGGATGTGGGGGGGGGGGGGTGCATCCCCGTGTAACAATCATTCAGATTTTGCTCAACAGTTTGGGGTAGGCTAGTTCAGTTGCTACATGCTGAATGTATTCGAAAGCATGGTTATTAAAGACTTCAATCTGCAGTAGCAGAGGTTATCAATGAAATTACAATACAAATTCTTATTGATGAGCAAGTGCCATTACAGTAAGTGCAGGGACACCATGTGGACGCTGCACAGCAGCAAAGCTTAGCCCGATAATAAAGCATTTCTACAAACTTTTTCAGCCAATTCTGTTGATCGGCGAGGAATACAGTCTTTATTTGTACAGATGGGAAGGCTGTTCCAGCACAGCTTCCGTTTGTCTCACAAAAGTCAAAAGTTGGTCTAAAGCCTGTTTCACATGCGAGCGATTTTGCTCCAAGAGCGGAGCGGCAGCTGTCGCGCGAGGCCAAAACAGGTTTCTACCGCGGCGACTAGACGCTCTTGTGAAATTTGCCAGAGTTGGAAAAGTTCGCTAGCGGCACAAGCGACAGAGCGACCAGTGACGTCGTTTGACACGTGATGACGGGGGTGGAGTCGAGAAGTTGGCGCGCGCGCTGCGAGGAACTGGTTTCACAGAACAACTCGCTCCGACTGAGTAGCAGACGACATACGTCCTCTACCCGGGTCACATATGTTTCGCGCTGCTTTCAACAAGTCGCTTATAGAAGTTGTGAAACAATCTCTTCTTTGGGACGTCAAGATGAAGGATTTCCGCAAGAACCATACATAAGAAGAGCATTCTTTGGGAAGAAATTGGCGAAGTCGCATACTTCCATAAAGTAAACGTCGTGGCTTGAACTGGCCATATTCAGTGATGATGAAGAAATTGGCGAAGTCGCATACTTCTATAAAGTAAACGTCGTGGCTTGAACTGGCCATATTCAGTGGTGAAGTCAAAGTGCAGCTGTTTTCCTTTCGTTGCTCTCGATGATGCTTTTGCCGTAGTGAAAATCCCGTGCGGCGCCTTTTTTATTTCAATAACATTATTACTACTTTCTTTTTCTGTTTTTGCGTTTTCATCGAAAGTCATTCCCACGTAGAAGAGCAGCATGGCAACCCGTACTTCTATGTCGCAGCAATTGTTGCTGGTTAACAAATGATGACATTTGGTGACGCGGTGCATAGATGAAAGGCTTCACACGAACGAGAGAGCAAGGACGGCTGCTACGGTAGTCGACTTGAGAAGTAGGAGTTCACACAGATCACTGAAAATAAATTTCGTGATGTGACTCAACAAAGAAGGGGCGCGAAACTTGCTGTCATGGTTCGGGGAAATAAGGCACTCATCAGGGGCCTTTATTTTTGTTCTCCCCTTCAACACCTCGATTTCTCACTAAAACCCTGGCTGAATTGTCCGCGTCCTCTGCGACGCTTTTTTCGCAATGAACAATTGCACCGCACAGCGCTCAAGTTTGCAGGCTGTCGACAGGCCCTGCCACACTGGCCAGCTGCTCTCCGTGACACTCAGTGCAGGAATGGGCGGCTGGCTAGACGAAAATAGATTTTCGGTCGCGAGCACAACATACACTGCGTTGATTTGTAGGGTTTAACGTCCCAAAACCACCATATGATTATGAGAGACGCCGTAGTGGAGGGCTCCGGAAATTTCGACTACCAGGGGTTCTTTAACATGCACCCAAATCTGAGCACACGGGCCTATGACATTTCCGCCTCCATCGGAAATGCAGCCGCCACAGCCGGGATTTGAACCCGCGACCTGCGGGTCAGCAGCCGAGTACTTTAGCCACTAGACCAACATACACTGCGTAGATAACGAAGAACAGCTGTTGATTTCAGGCACCAGTGCAGCAACACATGCCTAGAAGCATGCATCTAAACTACATGGTCGAATGCTACTAATTGAATGTCACTATGTGCCGACGGCAAAGGTGTGTTGTGTGAAATGATGTGATACTTCGGCTTTCCTGCTTACTACCGCAGCATTTATAGACGCAAATGCAAGCTAAGGCAAGAATTGCTGCGTAGTCCCTTACCTACACCGCGCACAAGTGTATATACAGCAGCCAAAGAACTGGGACAAGGAGCGTATCACGTATATTATGCTACCTGCGGTTGGTGAAACTCGTCCTGGAGTGCTTTACTGAATCATTGAAAAATCTAAGAGGCTTACTGTTTAGGGTGAAAGCATACGAAATTCGAGCGCCAGAAGAGATGCAGATTATTCAGAAAACCCCAAAGAAGGATGTGTTCGCATGAGCTAAAGGGTGACTACAAACACTGCCGACGCTTACTACTTAGAGTTTTTATAAAAACTCTTATTTTGACTCGAGCGAACAGGTGCAAAAATTTAGGTATAAATTTTGCGAGTTGTGTATACTAGGCTGACAGAAACCTCGTTCAGCGTCCCAATGTTAAATCGCTGAAGGCAAAAGCAATGAATCGGAGAAACATGGGAGGTGCTGCGCAAAACATGCTAGCAGTTCTTAAGCATTCACTTAGCTGGAACAGCTGTATAATAAAACCATACAAGCAAACTTTTTTTTTCTTCCCCATGGTCAGTTATATCAGTTATATGAGCGCGCAACAAGAATCATACGCGAGAAAGCCAGGACAAAAAAAAAAGCAAGTGCAAACGTTGCTTATTTGTTGTAAGATACATGTTAAAACTAGTGCAATCAGTGTAACGATGCGTAAAAGTCGAGCGGCTATTGATGATGAACCTCGTAGCACAGGGGCGCCAAATGAAGGACACTTGGAGGAGAGCGTGGCTTTCAGATACCACCGAAAACAGCGGTTGACCGGCGCCTTCCGCGGACAGCACTGCCCGCTAGAGCGGCGGGCGTCGCGCAACAGCAGCGGTAGCAGCGGCGCATGTGAAACGAACGTGCATCCGCGCGTCCTCCCGTTGCTCATCGCCGCCGCTCGTTCGCTCGCATGTGAAACAGGCTTAAGAGTTCTGAACTGAGTGGCACCAAGGCACCTCTCCCATTAATAAGCGGCACCAAGGCACCTCTCCCATAATATTCTAATTTGATGATCGCCTGCTTGTAGCACACGAACGTTTTGCAATCCCAAATTCTGGTCGCAATGCCTAACAACATTACTGCAATGCAAAAGTGACAAAGGTCTAACGCAAAACACACAAAAACTTTTCATTTTTTCTATTTACAATTAGCCCGAAAAGAAATTTATGACAAGAGATTGGCGAGCACCCTTGAGCAATAATGCAGCCACTTTGTGCCCCATTCCACTCAGCTGCAACACCTGAACCATTGACATGACCAATGCTGCAAACGTGCTCTCAGACAGGATTGGCTGGAAGCCACCAATATTGCTAGCTGCAATTCAAAATTACCGTGGCTTTTGCACACAAAGAGCAGAGTGGTCAAGTCTATTGCAAGCCCATGTCAACACGACAAAAAAATACGTTAAGACATACCAAAGCAAAATGTTGCCAACTTTGTCTGCTGTAACCAATACACTCAAACCTCATTACATATCTGCCAAGTTCGAGCATTCTGAATCCGGGAGATTTCCACAGCAGGGGCGGGGTGGGGTTAGGGTAGGGTTTCCCACTGAAGTGAGTCTTATGGTGAATTCTACTAGGAGAGTAGGAGCACTCAAAAGCACGCTGAAAGTGCTCTCTTCGGAGCCGGCATGTTTCAGAGGTCACTGTCACCTATTGGTAGAGTGAGAGTGCTTTTGCTGCACTGAGAGCAGCCAGGAGCAGTTTGCAGTGCTCTCGCCTGAAAAGCAGAGTAACCGCAGTACGACGAGTCACGTGGCCTTTTAAAGTCACA